CGCATTGGAATGGCAAATAGGCAGCTATAAACGTGAGTTGTCCAAATTTTGTTTCAACAGAAACTCCCAAAGTTTCAAAAACTTTGGTTTCAAATGAAGAAAGAATTTTATGTTTGATTCGTCTATGAATAATGATGGCAACGCCACCACAGGGTCCATCAAGACGATCATTTCTATAAATCAAGTAATTTGCGTCCTTCTTTACCTTATGGTCAGGTTTAAGGAACGTTTCAGTTATAACGGCAATATGCACGTTATGAACTCTCAAAAAATTAAATAGCTCGTCTTCATTATCTTTAAGAGATCGAGCATTCCAATTTAAAATGTTTAATGCTTTAAAATCCATTACTGAATTTTAAAGTCATGACAATATTATTAGCAAATTTTACTCCAGTTTGAATAGCATCAAACATGGAGTTAGATTTAAGCATATCAGAAATCATGTCAATTAATGAATTCTGTAAAAATTCCATTTTAGGGGCAGTAATGCTTCCTAAGTCAAAATTGTCAAAATTTCCGTTAGAACGTTGGTTAGTATTTTGATTTCTACCCGCTGTAATAGCAGCATAGGTAGCTCCATTAACTCGCTGAACATTGTTAGCAGCGAGGGGAGTAGGTACAGATGAAACATTTGAAGCAGGGGTGATATTTGTACCTACGGGTACGAATGTAGAATTTGTTCCTCGCTGACCGTTGTTAACAGCAGAGGAATTTGTACCTGGTCGGAAACGTGGAGCGTTTCCTACCTGTCGGTTAGAACGAGATTGTAGGATCGCTTTGCGAGTCTTACATTCCCAAAAATTGGATTTGTGGTTTTCACCACAATTTGAACATTTAAATTTCTTAGGATCTTCCTTCACAGGACAGTCGTCCTTTGCGTGAGAGGAATCACCACAATTCATGCATTTAGCTGGCATGTAGCAATTTTTAGTTCCGTGACCCCATCCCTGGCACTTACGGCACTGAGTGAGGTTTTGAAAATTTCCTCCAGTCTTCCTGAAGTGTTCCCACTTCACTCGGACATGGAGCATAAGGCTAGCTTTTTCTAAGGCCTTAAGGTTGTTTAGTTCACTAGACTTGAAGTGAACTAAATAAAAATCATTAGAAATCCCGTTGCGCGAATCGCCAGGACGGGATTTCATTTTCATTTTGATTACTTGGAGTGGCACAACTCCAAGTAATTTTGCCAGTTCATCTTTGATCTGATCCAGGGATTCACCACTGGGCAGTCCTTTCATGACAACCTTGAACACACGTTCAGTTTTGGTGTCGTAAGTAAAAAATTTGTGCTTCTTCTCAGTAAGATACTTGAGAAGACATTTAAATCCGTCCAAGGTTTCAGCCAATACACGGCATTCACCCCGACGTCCAATTTGTAGTGAAAACTTAACTTTCACGAAATTCAAAAGTTCCATGCGAAGAGCATGGAAATCGGTAGTGGTTATCACAATAGGGGGAATCTTTTCCTTCTTGGCATTAAGCCGGGAAAGTTTACTAGAATTTTTCTTGGATGATGGATCATTCTCATCATCCGTGAGCAAATCAAATTGATTACTCAAATTAATTTCTTCAGAAGGGGGGTCAAGAGTTTGCCCCTTTCTTTTGCGTTTAGGCGCCATGGCGGCAGTAAATTTTTATCCAAATCGACTTCCAAGCAGATTACTATAAGAATCTGAAGGATCGAAGAGGAATTTTCCAAATCGATATCCAAGAAGGATTACCTCGGGTAGGGTCCAAACAAGGATCGAAGAGGAATAAGAGGAGTTGAACAAGGTAGAAAATTTTTACAGGTTGAGCACTGAAAAGTGCTGTTTAAATTTGTTGTAGCTTTAGGTAGTAGTAACACTTCCTTAAGCAAAAAGCAAATAGATCCGCACGGCAAGAGAGCACGATGCGGACTGTTTACTTTTATACTCTTTCATCGGCTGCGTCAGCCAATCAGGATGCGCCATTCGATGACGTCGTTCGTTTTCCTATTGGAAGCGTTCATCGCGTACATACTCCCGCCGGTTGGAATACCATTCCAAAAGCGGAAATCTTCAATTGGTCGTTGTCGGTAATAGGAAGAGGCGCCAATTTCCGAATGGAGCGCCGGAATACTCCCGTTGCAGTCTTCACGTCGGCGACTCTGATCACGTCATCCCTTCCCGGGTAAACTACAACAATTTGACCCAACCTCCATGACTGAACTGGTAGATTGTCTTCCATCAGTAGCACAATAGTACCCATTTTCACATTCGGTTCACTTTTTGTCCACTTTGCCCTCGATTGAAGCGTTGATAGATAATCATGCGACCACTTTGCCCAAAACCGATCACGCAAATTGTTCATATACTGATAGCGAGACAGACGGTTCACTGCTACATCGGAGTACGACGGCTTAAAAATCGGTTCCAATGGTCTTCCAATCATCAAATGAGCAGGTGTTATCGGAAGCGGCTCGTTCGGGTCCTCAGACAGTGCATACAAGGGTCGGGAATTCACTATGGCTTCGATGTGGGTCAATACTGTTCCGAACTCCTCAAACGTCAAAATTGCGTTGCCCAAAGTTCGATATATGTGGGACTTGACAACCTTTACTCCTGCCTCCCACAAACCCCCAAAGTTGGGTGATCTAGGCGGAATGAATTCCCACTCAATCTCTCGTTTGAGCAGAAAATCGTTGATCTTCGTTCTTGCGGTCTCGTCACGGAACATCAAGTACAATTTGTGGAGTTCTTTCGAAGCACCAATAAAATTGGTCGCGTTATCTCACAAATTTTACGAACCATTCCACGACGGTTGATAAAACGATCTAAAGCGGCGAGAAAAGCTTCGGTTGTCAAATCCGAAACCAATTCGAGGTGAATCGATTTCGTTGTTAGGCAGACAAACAGTGCAATGTATGCCTTTACATGTTTCGGCTTATACCTTCCTTCTTTCACAATCACTGGGCCGGCGTAATCCACACCAGTGAGTTCGAACGCTGCTGCTACATTCACACGCTCCTCCGGCAAATTTCCCATTAAGGGCTGAATTCCTCTCGGCTTAGTCCTGAAACACTTTACGCAGCTTCGAGTCACTTTCCGGATGGCAGATCGAGCATTTACCAACCAGTACTTCTGCCTTATTGCTGCCAGCAAACCGGATGGCCCTTCATGCAGTCTCTCCTCGTGATATTGACGAATCAACATTTCCGTCACTCGGTGATTGCGTGGAAGAAGTAATTGGTGCTTGGCGTCATACGGTAATTTAGAGTTTTGTAGACGCCCGCCGACGCGAAGGAAAACTTCTTCGTCCAGGAATGGTTGAAGATTCGCCAATCGCTTCGGCAACTCCTTACGCTGAACACACTGGATCTCCTCGTTCAATCCGGTCCTCTGCAAAATCCTTACTATGTAATCCAATGCCTTCCGCATGTCTTGCACAGAAATGTATCTTGCATGTTTACGATTCTCCTTTTTCATTCGTATCAGTCGAGTGAATCTCACCACCTGCGCCAATACACGTTGCAGCTTGGAAAACGATCCGCATCGCTCGAATACCGGATCGTCTTCAACATCGACCGCTGGGTTACACACTTGAACTTGTCGCATTTCTGGTAACTCTTCATCTTGAATCACTGGAGTCTCCTGGATATCGTAGTTAACATCTTGCAGAAATAGTGGACCATTCCACCACATATCAGAACGATGTAACACACCAGGGTAACACCCTCTGGACACCAAATCCGCAGGATTATTCTCGGATCTGACGTACTTCCACTCGTAGGCACTAGTCAGTTTGTTAATATCCAAAACTCGGTTTCTGACGTAGACTTGAAGTTGATCCGGATTCTTCTTTATCCATGCCAGCACAATTTGGCTATCAGACCACAGCTTGATATCGTGGAATTCGGTTTTCAGAATAGGGATCACTACACTAACCAGTTTGGCCAATACCACAGCGGCACACAGCTCTAATCTAGGTATTGTGAGACGACGCAGAGGGGCAATCCTTGACTTACTGCAAAGCAGCCTAACTGACACTGCCCCGTCCTCCTGAACACAACGCAAATAAACGCATGCACCATAAGCAGTACACAACGCATCAGAGAAGCCGTGAATCTCAATACGTTGAGCTCCAGGAGCCATAACACATCTCGGTATTCGTATCTCGTTCAGTTGTACCAATGACTGATGTAAGGTCACCCATCTACTCAACAACTCGCCCTCTAGGGTCTCGTCCCATCCCAGACCATCATCCCACAATTGCTGCATGATGGACTTAGCCAAAACGATCACAGGTGATATGAGACCAAGGGGATCAAACAGTTTGGCGATTTGAGAGAGAACATACCTTTTAGTCACTTTCACATCCGGTTGCATCACTTCCGGGCTTCTCCAAAACAGGAACTGATCACATCTTGGGTCCCACAGAACACCTAAAGCTCGAATCGCTTCGTTGGTACCAGAATCTCCTATTCGAACTAGCTTTTCACGGTCTTGATCCGAAACACCTTCGTCGTCGTTGGTACACCATTTTCGGATAGGAAATTTTCCTTTCATCATAAGCTCCTCGATATCACTTCGCAGTTGCTTCGCGGATGCAAGTGTTGGGGCACCACTCAATATATCGTCCATGTAGCAGTCCTCTAATATCGCCTCTGCAGCTGCAGGAAAGTTGGCTCTTTCCCCTCTCGCTAGTTGAACCATGGACCTCACTGCCAAAAACGATGCAGGAGATGTCCCGTAGGTCACCGTTAACAACTCCATCACCTTTATCGGGTCCATCGGTTGGTCACGCCAGAAAGTTCTGTGGTAATGTGTCTGTCTTGGATCAAGTTTCACTTGTCTAAACATTTTCTCAACGTCTCCAGAAAATGCATATATGTGCATCCGGAAACGTAATTGGATTGTGAACAGATCGTTCTGAATCTTCGGGCCAATCATCAAAACTTCGTTGAGGGATAATCCGTTAGACTTCACCTTGGCGTCAAATACAACACGTAACTTTGTGCTGGTACTCGTAGGTTTAAGTACAGCATGATGTGGCAAATAGTAGCTCTGTCGGTCAGGCGGATCGTCATCCTCACGGATCTCGTGGCAATGACCAAGGTCTTTGTACTCCTGCATAAACTCTTGGTACATCTCTTTCATCTCGGGTTTATTGGTTAGATGTTTCTCAATTGACAGGAACCTCTTCAACGCTAATGATCGGGAGTTTCCTAGTTCATTGATGGACTCACGGAACGGTAGTTGAACCACGAATCGGCCATCCTCATCTCGTCGATATGTTTTGCAGAAGTGATCTTCTATCGCTTGCTCTTCATTCGTCAGGACTTTTTCTTCTGGAAGTTCTTCTTGCTCGAAAAACCTCTGAATGCTCTTCAGCAACAGATCCTCATTTGTGGCGCATAGCACGTTGACGACTTCCTCCTCGGACTCTTCTAAAGCACCGGCAATAATCCATCCGAACTGAGTCTCGTACAGTACGGGTAGATTATCAGAGAGTTTCAGCTGAGCTTGTTTCAGGATTTTGAAAAACAGCTCGGCACCGATCAGTAGGTCCACTTCTCTCGGTTCGTTGAAGCTTGGATCGGCCAACACAATACCACTCGGGAACTTCCACTCCGAGATGTCAACTGGAACAGATGGAATCTTTCCTGTCACTCTAGCTGTCACCAAACAGTCCATGTCACTTTGGAAATCGGTGTAGTCGGAGAAACACTTCAGGATCACACGATGACGAATTTGAGATCTGGCGCCACCCACTCCTACGACTGGCACGTTGGCAGGATACTTCGGAAGCGCTAGCAGTTTTACAGCAGATTCAGAAACCAGGTTGATCTGAGACCCGGAATCGAAGAGAGCACGCAACTTGAAGTTCCTTCCACTCTTTGACGTAACATTCACCAATGCGGTCATCAAAAACACTTGTTTCGCTCGTTGTTGCATACTGGAACAGGCTGTAGACACAGGATCCTCAGGAACAGCTGCTGCTGTCTGCATCTCCTGCGGCTTGGATGTTCCACCTGGAGTTTTCTGCTTCGGCTCAGCTTGGGATACCTGCTCGAAGTGCAACATGGTATGATGCTTTTTGGAACACCTCGAGCATGACTTATCTGATGGACAAGCCCTGATTTGATGGCCTTTCCTAAGGCAGTTGAAACATAGTCCGATTTGCTTCACCTTGGTAACACGCTGATCAACACTCATGCTCAAGAAAGAAGGACACTTGTAATTGCAGTGTTGACCCGCGCATATTTCACACACATTCTCCGGTGAACTGGATGTTGCTGGATTGGAGGTTCTTTGCGATGAGCTGGTTTTCCCCATCATAGGAGGCTTAACAGCTGCCTTAGCTGAGGACGCCTTGTCTACTTCACATCTATCAAGTACCTGGCAATAACTTCTTAAGAACTTCATGGATTCTTCGAGGTCAGGAAGTTCTCCGTGCTCCATGGTGAGCTCCCACTGCTTCCGCGTTTCTCCATCAAGGCACATTGTAAGTAGCTTCACCACGATTAGACCGGCTGTTCCAACAACCTCCTGCTCCATGAACCGCAATCCTTCCACGTGGCGATTGCATGTATCGATAAGGTTTCTTAGCTCCTTGAAGCTTTGTTTGGCTATCGGTTTCATCGACAATAAACCGGAAATATGGGTGTCAATAATCACTCTCGGATTTTCAAAGCGCTTCTCTAACAACTCCCATGCTTGCTGATAGTTGTTGTCATTGATAATTCTGGCATTAAGGATACCGGAAGCTTCACCGATCAGCGCCTTGTCCAGGTATTGCAGTTTAGTTGCATCGGAGTCGCCACACTTTCGGATCAAGTCATTGAAGAGAGCTTTGAATTTTGGCCAACCTTCGTACTTCCCATCGAAGGTTGGGATCGGCGTCTTCAGAGGTTGCTGAGTCACAATCACTTGGGGAACTCCATTATTAGGTTGTGGATCAGCACGAAGTAACTCCAACAGTTGATTCAGCTTCACTAACGCCTCCGTGTGCAGCTCGTCAAACTCGTCCAACTTATTGTCCTGATCCTCCATGTTTTCACTAGTACACTGAGCCACGATCAAGTCATGCTTCACCGCATACTCCGAATAATGTAGTTCCAATTTCTTCTCATAAGCCTTTAACTGAGAAAGGCTCGCTGTTTCAGGTTCGTCCATAGCTTCGTTTAGCTTCTGGACGATCATTGTCACTCGCGCTTTTACTTGTCCTCGTTGATGAATTAATTGCTTCAATTTCGTCATGATTACACTTTTCACTACAGTTCACTCTCAACACTCACAGTTTTTAAGGGTACTACTTTACTACGATCGTAGGTTTCAACTTTTTACTCATTCGGGCACAAACTCGTTGGAAGGAAGGGTCACGAATATTCGCGGATGGACGTATCACACCGGTTGATATCCGGCTCGAAGGACCAAATGTTATGTACTCAATTTCTCTTGGGGTAGATTAATTGCCCTTACCACAACAGCACAGACGAAAACCTACCTTGTGATCGAGCCACCGGCAGCTATGCACTTCACAGCCACCAGCGACGGGATCGAAGAGTCACCGTTGGCTGTACACGCTACAGCCACCAGCGACGGGATGCCTCTCTCAAACGAAGGACCACGACACAACTCGTGATCAAGCCACCGACAGCTGTGCACCTCACAGCCACCAGTAGTGGGACGATGAGCCACTGACAGCTGTGCACACCACAGCTACCAGCGTAGGGACGATGCACCGTTGGCTGCACACACCACAGCGGACAGCGTAGGAACGATGGGTCGCTGTTAACTCTTCAGCCACCAGTCGTTGAGCTGCCAACCACTACAGCCACCAGCGCAGTAAACCTTTCTCTCTCTCTCGAAGGACCACGGCAAAACTGCCGAACACAAGGCTCCGATGAGCAGGGAAACAGGAAAGTTAAACTCTTTTAAAAGTGTCCACTAGGTGGAACTTATGGAAGATGAATCGATCACCACATGCAACCAGTGGATGAACGAACAGGAACTGGACGAAGCACGAATGCTCGGGAAATCTCCGTTCTCGGACGAAAAGAATGAGACACTGTTCTCAATTCTACCTCTATTTATTCGCTGCTTCCTCTTCAATGGTTAAATGCAGGATACAGAATGAAACATGAAATGCAATGTTGTTTACTTTTATACTCTTTCATCGGCTGCGTCAGCCAATCAGGATGCGCCATTCGATGACGTCGTTCGTTTTCCTATTGGAAGCGTTCATCGCGTACAACCCCCATGGGTAAAGATGCTGTGTTGCTCACTTCTCTCCCCTTCCCTGGTGTATTATGGATGGTGTGAATATTCACATCGGTGACATGGCCCCTGACCCCCTTGTACATCATAAAATGAAAATGAAAATGAAAATGAATATCTTTTTGAGATTTTAGCAGTCACGTTTTGTTTGTAGTTTATATTTTATTTATTTCATGTAATTATCGTAAATAATAGTTATTCAATAATAGATAGTTCATCCATATATTCGTACTTTGACGCGAAGCGCTGTGGATTATAAGATGGTCGATGACCCTCGAGGGATCGATTTTGCTTAATGAGCAGAAAATCATGGATTTTACCCCAAGCTCTTCCACAGCACAATAAATTGCCACCATCATTTGTATATTTGATATTGAACATTAACCTCGGAAACTATTTGCATATCAAGCGAAAACGTAGTCCTGTATTGTCGCGAAGCGTTATGGTTCTGAGATGCTCGATGACCCTGGAGGGATCGTTTTTGCTTACTGAGCAGAAAATCATGGGTTTAATCCCAAGCTCTCCGTCATGACTCTTAAAATTCATTATCACTAATCAAAATTAATATGTTCTTTCGATAGCCGGCTATCGAGAGATTAAATAAACAACAAATAAACAATACATACTTTTGGTTGCATCGCCAACTTGAGGTGAATCCTAACCGAATACCCTACCCAACCCTCCAACTCCGTAGCACTTATGAGGGTGTCGCTAAGTCGGTGGCCTCTCGTTAAGTAAGTACTACATCAACATTTCCTTCCCTATCCCTAGTTATGGTAAAGATGGGCGTGGCCGGGAATAGCGACAGTCATGCTTCTGTTACTCTTGTTTAGATTGGAACCAATGTTTACTCCTCAGCATTATTCCTGAAAGTAGTCTAACTGAGAATTTCAGAAGAGACGTGAGTGTCGCTAGTATCCAATCTACGAAGTATATCATAACAACGCTAACGCTAACGCTAACGAGCATGACGTCATCATGGTGTTGTTTGAGGGAGAAGTATTGTAATATTTTGAGCAAAAAACGCTTTCCACACTCCCCATTCCGATTTATTTCGTGGACAACGGAAGAACGAAAGATAAAGCCAGCATTCCTCGGTTCATTGTTGCAAAGATTTGCTTTGCACTTCATTTTGAAATTTTGCGCACGAAACAAAACAAAACTGCACAACGAAGAGCTCTATGATGGCATGAACTTTTTTCACGGATGCCACCCGAAAAAAAAATACAGTGAAATTTTCAGTGGAAACAATGCTCTAACATTAATATTTATTGTCGACAATAAAAATGATTGTTATAATGTTGTACCCTTCCGAAAACGGCAAAACTGCTACCTAGCTGTACAATGAATGTACATAATAAAATGTTGTTACAATGATTTTCATTGTATTTTTCATTTATTTTATTGTTAACATGATTCGATCACGAACAATAATGAACAACTCTATTACAATAAAAATTGTTGTTACATTAAATATTGGTGTGTTTTCATTGTGGGTTGAAAGGATTTGTGGAATTGGATTTGGAGGAATTGTTCGTGAAGTACAATAAAAATAAATCTGATTGAAGCATGCAGACTATGAGAGGGTCAGCAACACTGCCAATGTAATCAAGATAGGCGCTGCTCGTATGGCTCTTGCTTTGACAGTTCGTTTGGCTCTATTCGTTGCCAAGTCAATTGAACGCCTACGACCAGATAGGTTTGAGTTGAACTCAACTCTCCTGCCTCATCTAAATCCCGCTAAATACAGACCTTTTCCGTACAGTCAATAATCATACAATAATAATAAAAAAATCCACCACTTGAAGATGTCAGGAAATAACTCTCAGGTGGAAGCATATTTCATGGGCGGTTCTCTCCAGTTGAATGCATTAACTTATCAACGACGCTCAACCACCAAGGAGACGTGACCTAGAGAGATCGAGTGCAGGGGAGTTGGCCTCCATTTCTGAAATGTTCCGGATCGAATCTCAATCCATAACCAGTAAAAAATGACTCACCCGTATCAGACATACCACCCCCTTCCCTTCCCGGGGCGACGTTTTATTTTTTCGATTTATTTTTAAAGTCGATAAAGTAGATCTGTCAAGACAACACATACACTCTAAAGTACACTGTTATTTTTTTTTTAATCAATAAACTCGCCAACCAACAGTAAAATAACAATAATATAAAATGTTATTGAAAAAAAATTATAGGGGGAAATCATGAAAATATCATTGTTAAGATACCTACTTAACAACCCCCCTTTTTTATTGTAAATTTTCCATTTACCATAAAATTTACTGTTTTGTACAACATAAATCAAGGTAAATTTATTTTAGGCGTAACAATATAAATCTTGGTTAAGACAATAATTTTCGTCTTATTGTTACATTGTTTTTTATTGTATTTTTGTTGTTATTTTTTTTCGGGCAGTAAGATCATTTATTTTTCATGGTTGCCAAAACAACTTTTTGTGCCTCCGCTTATCTATGGAATCTATAGTATCTATAGCATAAACTAGAAATACTACACGGTAAGAAAAAGTACTCAAAATTAAGTTAAAAAAAACCCAACGTTGGGTTCTATCATTTGAGGTCCGCCGTTGAGTGAATCAGAAAAGCGGCTTTGGTTAAAATTTACTCAACTATTGAGTAATAATAAATTAACTCAAATATAAGTTTATTTTCATTGAGGTTGCTTTTATGCGCCTTTAACCATTTCATTTTCACAAGCGTTGATAGACGAGTGGTCAACACACGGGTCCCGTAATCTCAACGTCCATGGTTCGTTTCCAGTCTGCTCCGTTTTATTATTTTTTTTGTCAACTTGGTCAGCGCCAGGATTACTCAAAATTGAGTTTTCTTCTTTAACTTAATTTTACCTATGTGATGAGTGAAAGGAACTCAATTTTGGGTACTTTTTTCTTAGCGTGTAGAAAGAGAGATGAACGGAGAGAATGTTTTGAGCCAAATGAACTGTCAAAATCTGAGCCAAACCTAAGAGGAAGAGCTGACAATTGGCTTCTTCCTCTTTTATTTCTATCTCTATCTCTATCTATATTTATCTCTATCTCTATCTTACGCACATGAAATCGGCCAATCAGGAGCTGGTTCACGTTTGACAGAAAAGTGGTTCTTTTTCGCCCCCGTATTGTCACCTCTTCTCTTGGAGCCAAACGAACATTCCCATTAGATTTTTTTCGAGGATTTCTTATTCTTACTAGATTAAATTTGAGAGTATCGCAATCGAACAGAAATTCAATTACCTTTATGTTTCGTGTGCTTCTCAAATTCAACTACTTTTTGGAATCAAAAGCAATATTCTAGCTCTATTGATTAATTGATCTTAGTTGGTTAATTAATGGCACCAAAAAAATTGCAAAATATTGCGATGCAATCAATTATTAATTTACACGTAAATCGAATCAAAAGTAAAAGTCATGTGAAATGCTAAGTTTTAGCAAGGGTTGCAAGATAATTTAGATACAAATCCCTGCTGCCGAATTGTATTTTGTTTTCTCCGCCCATTTCTCCCTCTGAGTATTCTAGTATAAACTTGGTTTTTCGTTCTGTGTATACTACACTGTAACTGTAAATGCTTTTATTTTGCAAATGAAGCATTTTATTTTAATCTGGTTGATACTACGTTAGTAGAAAACATAAGGACTACTCAACAGACGTATAGGGGAAACGCTCCTATAGTTGCGGTACGTTAGTAGCGTTAGGCTCCTATAGTTGTGTACGGAGTCTCCATACACAACTATAGGAACCTAACGCTTCTAACGTATCGCAACTATAGGAGCGTTTACCCTAATATAGAAAAAATAATATCTTTTCAGACTTTTAGGTGTATACATAGATTTTAGCTTTTCTACCACTGTAGCAGCAACCAGAATTAAATAAAACGCTCCATTTGCAAAATAAAAGCATTTTAAGATT